TGTATATATATATATATAGATATATATATATAGTATTATATCTATAAATATAATTTTATTCATTCATTGCCTTGGAAGTGTAGTTACTCTCCTTCACAAGACCACATAGATTAATTATAAAGTACACCTACCACCATGCATATAGTCAAGGTTTTACAGTACATAGCAGAAAGTTATTAGTCTATCGCTAAATCGAAATTATAGAAATATTAGAAAAATTATATTACATATCGACTATAACTAAGGCCTTTTGTAAGATACCATAGTAACGAACACAACTGTTATTAATTCTAATTAATAGATAACTTTTTCAAATTACTCAAATAGATTAAAAGGTTTCTTAGCTACGTTCTTGTTGTACATAACTGAACACCACCTACTGTAAATTCTCGATTGAAGGTCAAAAGTGGTCCCGTTGTTTGATAGTATCAGGGCTTAATTTAACAGAAAAATAGAGGATTGATTCACACCATGCACAGTTAATATCATTCCATTTGCTAGCATCGGCCAATGAAAAGCAGATATCAACAATGTACAAAGTACGATTTGTCTGACGACATACCTTTCTCACGGTGATTGGACTTGCATGTACGCTGACGACATGTTAGTGTTAGTCTTTTGTAGATAACATATATCGTTAGCCACATCTAGCCTTACTAACGCATCTGCAGTCAAGGTTCTTTTTGACCACGATGGGCGAACATCATTATTACCTTCACCAAGAATGTTATTTTTTCAGTAGCATGTGTCCGTCTGTCCGTTTGTCCGTTTGTGAACAGCATAACTCAAGAAGCTTTATATGCATTGCCATTAAACTTGGTATGTACGTAGGTCTTGATGAGACCTAGAAATGATTAGATTTTGGGCCCCCTGGTGGCTTTTGTTGGTACCGCAGCAGAACTTCCGGTTTTGATATCTCGCGATTTGGACATGCCAGGGTCACGAAGTCTAGTTGGTAGATAACTCTAGGCGTAGGAAAGAAGTGACATGAGTTTGGGCCCCCTAACAGCTTGTTCTGGGACTGCAGGAGCATTTGTTGATGAATTTTTGAAGGAGGATAACTCAAGAACCGGTTGACGGAATGTAGTATTTTTTGGCATGTAAATAGCGAAAGTGATGCTTGAAATAATTATTACATGACAATTAGGCAAATCAGGAGCTAATCTGCATAATTAATGGTGATATTCTATAAATCTGCTTTGTTCGATAATGGGACCATGGAACACTTGTGACATGTAATTGAGAACAAGAAAAAACATCTGAAGATATAGATTCTGTAAATGAAGACCTAATTTGCATAATCAATGAGAAATTGCTACAATTTCATAGTTGTAATTGATGGGAATTTCATGCTTTCTGCTTTTGAAAGTTAAGTGATTGTCAATAAAGATAATTTATTCAAGTTATGACCTCATTTGCATAATTTATGAGGAAGTGCTAGAATATCCTTTTTTATTAAGATAAGGCTGTCGATGGTCGGAGAATATGCTCAACTGATGTAATCCATCCAAATGGGGCTCTTATTTGCGAAATCAATGATTAAAATTGTATAATTCGTCAACCACAATGGTTGTCATGATAATAGACTTAAGACAGACATATGAACCTTTAGAAAAATCTAACTAGTGATGAAATTTTAAGGAAATTACCTGTTATATACCTGATGTTATGATATGGTCCGTCAACTGTGATTTTGACCAATTGCGTCATCGACGTAGCATAAATTCAGTATTTTCAATAATGGAACCTACCTGAAATTTTATTGAACGTTATTGATAAAGTTGGCGCGGACGCTTTTAACCCCCGCCCCGGTCTAGATAGGGTGAAGATATGGCCTAACCTCTCTAGACGGTTGTGGCAAAAAATCACATTTTGACGTCATAATTACGTCATTATGACATAAAACATTGTTCTTACATTTTTGTTTCCATTAACTAACACTGCATTATAATATAACATTATATATAAAATTAGGTGTTGTAAACATGCAATCCACAAGGACAGACAGGATGGCGTGGATCCGGTCAAAAGTGCAAAAACCTGTACTTATAAAGGGGTGATCATTAAAAGCTTAACAGGAAGTTATACTCTTATAAGAGACAAACGATACACACAGTTGTTATAACTTCAATACTTTTTTTTTACGATGGGGTTTAAACTAAACGTGGTTGAGTTTAAACCCCCTCGTTCCGGTTTATCATTGGGGTCGACTTCCTAATGCAGACAGCATTGAGCCACTTTATGTCACAATGCCAATTTATTTTATTTTATTTATTTTCCGTCATTTTTATACAGAGTAACCCAATCCAGTGATGGCACTGCTTTTCAACGGGGCCCTGTATTACACAGCACAATACAACAATCACATACAAATAATAACATTAGCATACAAAAATTATACAATAAATAATTATAATTGCAATGATAATAACGAAAACAATAAATAAATTATAATGGCAATGATAATAACGAAAACACAGTAATTAACCAATAACAGTAATAAATAATAATAATAACAAAAAATACATCATTGTCCAGTCATTGTCATTGTCCAGTCCTATATGTTGGCATGGAGGGGTCAGAGGTCAGGCCAATTCTTGCATTTCATTTTAAAAATGGACATGGACGGACAGGTCTTAATAGCAGTTGGCAGCCTGTTCCAGAGGGCAGGGCCTCTGTAGGAGAATTTGCGCTTTCCACATTCAAGGCGAACAAGTGGCAGTTTCAAAGATAGGTTCTGGCTGTGTCTGGTGGGGTATCTGTGGGATTCAAAAGCCATCTGGAAGTTATCTATGTAGTCTGGGAGTTCATTGTTGACTGCCTTGTACATTGATTGTAGCAGGTGCAAGTTTCTCCGGGATGATAAAGTTTTCCAACCTAGGGTAGATAACTCACCATCGCCAACATGATGTGTATAACGTAAACGAAGGATAATTCTCACTGCCCGGTTCTGGTACTTTTGCAATTTGTCAGACAAGCATTTACCACAGTTTCCCCATATCACATCGCAGTAGTCTATTTTAGGTAGGACTATACAGTTAAACAACATTATAAGAGTGTGTTGGGGCAGACATGGGATGAGGCGTCGTATGACTCCCAGTCTGGAAGAGACCGCATTACACAACTTGTCAATGTGAACTTGCCATGTTAAGCTGGAGTCAAGCCAAACGCCAAGGTACTTATAACTGGAAACAACTTCCAAAATGGTGCCAGAAAGGATAACTGACAATTGTTCTGTAACTGACTGCAGCCTACGTGTAGTCCCAAAGAGCATAGCTTTGCATTTATTAACATTAAGAGTCAGTTCATTTTTTTCCAACCATGTCTCAATATTACGAAGATCCGCATTGAGAGCATTGTTTACATCTGTGACTGTCTTGGACGCATAGAAGAGAGCAGTATCATCTGCATACAATACAACATGTCCATTTGATATATAGTCAGGTAAGTCATTAAGGTACATGATGAACAAAAGTGGCCCGAGAACCGAGCCCTGGGGTACTCCCACAGTAACTTCCAGGAAGTCACTCTGGACTCCATTTATGACAATGTTGTCTGCCTCTATTACCTGACAGTATGTTCTTGCAACCTTCTAACCTCCTGACTGTATCGTTGTTTAAATGTTAACCCTTATATCATATACTTTACAAATCTAATGAAAATATTTACGTATAAATAGATTTGTTTTGGTACATACATAGGTATTAGATCAAAATTTTGTAGAAAAAAGTACTTAAAATGTAAAAATATAGATGTCGTCTTTGCATTATTTCTTAATTTTAATTTTTATATTTCCTCTTAAGCTCCTGAGTAAATGGTATTTCTGGTTTAGCCATGTAAACGCAAGCTTTATTTCTTTGTTCAAGTTCTTTTAATACATTACCATCAACAGATAGCCCGGGTGGTGGCAAAAGTTTTAAATCCTTGGTTTTTATATTAGAGATTGATTTTCCTGTTTTAGTGCACGTAACGTGTAAAAGTCTATTTTTCTGTTTTATTAATTTTACTTCTCTTATCCAATCAAAAGGAAGCTTTGAGAGTTTCTGCCATAATGATTTGTTGAAGTAATCAAACAGCATACTATCGGCTTTGTTCCACTGTTTAATCTTCTCTTCAGTCTCTGTTGAGACGTACTTTGTAGATGATGTCTTCATTGCATTTAGCTTAAAATACGTTACGTCATTAAGATCCCAGCATAGAGTATGTCTTAGCAGCACCATGGACTCTTCAAAATGGTCCGACACCAAAACAACGGAAAAAATACCATCTATGTACTCAATAGCTTCCTGGATTGACTTTTCTGACACAAGCTGATCAGGACTGTATCCCAAGTCGAAAAATATTGGGTTCCGAAAAAATGGCCTCTTTCCGTATGGACCAACGTAATACGAGGGTCTAGAAAGAAAAACGTCCATGGCGTTTGGCTGGAAAATATTGTATTTTTTCTTTAAATGAAAGTACTCAAAAGCAGATCTGAACATTGCAGCAGGGCTTCGTACCACCGTAATGTAAACTGAGTCGTCAGGCATGAGATCCCTCATGTTGGCATAGTGAAAGCGGGTGTGATGACATAGTATATTGTAGACAGTCTTGCTCCTTTTTTGTTGTTCCTGTAGAACAGATGACCTTTTAAAGTGGTCAGGCCAATAAAACCTATGGCCAGCAGCTGGTAAGGCAAACGTCAGGTTTTTCTCCAGTCCATACCGCAGGAGTATATTTTGAACTGTAGAACCAGCCGTTTTATGAGTCTTCAGGAAAACAATATTCATCTTTGCTGAACATCTCATAGCACTTGACCTATCTATCTTTAAGTTGTTTCTGAAAAGTAAGTAAAATACATTATTATTATAGAAACCATTACATAGTCATGTTACTTATCCGTTTGTATTTTAATATTTATTTAACTTTTGGTTTTCAGTCAAATGACCTGAAAGGAATAGGGGTGGGGACCTGTTTGGAAAATTCAAATATTAACCCTACCTAGACCGGGCTTTTTTTGACATGGGGGGGACCGGGGGGGGGGCTCTTTTGACCCCCCTAAGAACTCGCGAACGGTATGTCGTATGACCACCAAATTTTTAGAGAATGGTGTACTAGTAAAAATTTATCATATCTACAATTTTTATGTCGTTATGACGTAAAATGACGTCATTATGACGTCATTAATGTGATTTTATTGGCCAAAACCGTCTAAATAGGTTTTTCCCTGAAAACTAAATGGTATTCAACATAACTGTACCAAAAGTGTTTATGACAGAATATTATGGTGTACTAAGTCTTATGTTGCCCATAGCAATACCGGTGACGTCATAAAATGACGTCATGCATATTTAAGATATCCGCCATCTTGGATAATCAATCTTGAATTTTCAAAATGTTTTTTTTTCATGATAAAGCCTAAAATACATTGCAAACATACTAAATACCTTCATTTAAACCTTTTTTTTTGGAAAATGAAATGGAAGTATTGATGAAATTTAAATGAAAATAACCTGTATGTACCTGTTCTAATGATATGGTCCGCCATCTTGGATTTTGGCCAATGACGTCATCAAATTAGCATAAATTATGCATATTTAATGATAAAATTTACATAAAATTATATGGGATGTTATTAATATTAGAAACCATGAGTAACTTGACATAAAACCCATAAAATTCTATTGTTGAAACAAAAAGTACTAAATTTAGCAAAAAATGCCTGTCAGAAACCCGTTGCCATGGCAACACAAAAAATTATTATCTTATTCCAATGATAGAAAATTGTTACCAATAATATTCTAGGAAAAGTCACCAAGTTTGGCCATTCTACGGGTAGCCGTTCAGACGCTAGGTGACATCAAAGTTGCCGCGTGCACTTTTAGCCCCCCCCCCGGTCTAGGTAGGGTTAAATATCCAATCATAAATAATATTGCAGTGTTTATAGAGATGACTTTACGACTAGATATAAACTCTACTAGTGCGCGTATTGGATTTGACAAAAGATTAATAGAGTTAAACAATTTATACTTGGTATAAAATATGGCCTCTTCAGTCTTTTTGAAACTTAAAAAGGGGGGGTTGCTAGGTCAATAAAGCCAAGCCGATGTTGGTATGCAAATGTAGATAGAAGATATCTGGTTTAAGGACTTGCCTCATAGATTGAATACCCCCAATGAATACTTCTTCTTTCATGTAGCGATGTAACAGCAAGAGTAAGGTGATGACGAAAACAGCTGTGCAGAGGATTGCTGCCCTTCTTCGTGCCATCATCGCTAGTCTGGCAGCTCCTTTACTTTCACGGCTTAATATTCATTAACTGCAAATAGATATAACGGTTGACAATACCTACATATCATAACATAAGTAGAAAATAAGGACTCAGTCCAACCCACCTTCCTAGTCTTTTACCAACTACCAGGTCATCAACCACTAAATCTAGATATCCTTCCAGAAACGGAAACAAGTATTCTGTGAAAATTCCAAAAAGCGTAACAATGCAAGAAGTTCGTTCCACAGGTCCTGTAACAGACCAATCCAACTGTGGGACTGTAGTCAACCTGACGCACGGGCAGCTCCTCATCGTTATGCTATAACCCGGGGGTGCCCGCGACAACGTAAATGTCAGATAACGTCTTAATGACTTGCGTTAGAACCAAGGCTGCGAAAAACAGTAATTTTAGTTATCAACTCAACAATAGACTTGTATGGGTTTCCTGTTTAGTTAAACACGCTTTTTACTATCAACAATGTAATTTTATGTAATTTTTATAATTAAAAACACATAATTTATGTTGATTTGATGACAGAGTTTGTCAAAAATAGGTAAACACAGGTCCTTTTTAAAACTTTTATCACCACAATTACTACATCAAAGATGGCAGATAGCTCACGCTAACCCTAGCTAGACTGGACTTTTGGGGGATCTTTGGGACTGCGGGGTTTGTGCTCCTTCGACCCCCTTTAGAACTCAAAAAAGGGATATCGTCTTACCGGTGCCTTGACCGGGAGTGGCCATGGGGGCACCTAGTGGCTGAGCACACTGCCTTTCTCCATCCCTCTCTGTCATGAGCCAGCGCTTGGGCGCTGGCAAGGGGCAAGCCGGTCCACTCATTGAGATTGTCGTCCCATTTCTTCCTTTGTCTCCCTCTTTTTCCCCTGGTACTGTTCCTTGTAGTATAACTTTGGAGAGCCCTTTACTTCTGGTCACATGGCCGTACCATTTTAACTTGCTTCTCTTAATGATACTAATGAGATCTTCAAGGTGACTTTTTCCGGTAGGTTGGTTAATGACTAATCTCCAAGCAGATCTTTTGGTGGGGGTTAGGCAGTATCAAATTGGCCAGTCTGTAACCATTTCCCCACCCAAGGTCTACCTGCAGTCGAAACGTCATAGGCTATTAACACCTAGTTGCCTGATCAAAATATTCTTGCCAAGTAGTTTATTGCCCTGAACACCAGGCAAGGCTCTTGCCCATAGTGGGCCAGCTGGTTGAGCATTTCAGGAAGTCTCTCCATGGGTCCCCTCACCAAATGGTATTTTGGACAGTTCAACTAAAGTAAAAGAAGTTCTAACATATGTTTTGTGTATTTACGTGACCAAAGGACTTTAGAATCTGTTCGGTACCAAACAGCCAGGCTTATCAGTGGTCACTTTGGGATCCCATACCCTTCCTACAACAGTCTCTACACAGAACTGTCTCTACCATCCAGTTTGGACGCAAGTTTCACACTGCAGTAACCATGTACAAACTGTTAAACGGTCGCTGTCCTCCACACCTGCAAAGTCTGCTACCTCGAGCGCGAGCGTCCGCCACAGAATCCCGGTATCCCTTACAGAATAGTGAACACGTATCCATTCCTGTTTGTAGAACCACCAGAATCCAGAGAACGTTTGTGAACAGAGCAATTACCATCTGGAATGCTCTCCCTAGCGACACCCCAACAGCCCGCTCCATCAGCTCCTTTAAAAACAAACTATGAACAATACTTGATAAATACTTGACGACAACTACTTAGTAAAACTGTACGAGTTCAAAAGAATTGTATTGACAATGTAAATATAGTGCACAGCGTAATTGTAGTAAAGGCATGACGTCTAGGACAGATTTCATAACCCTACCGTTAGACTGCCTCATTCATCCTAATAAATCAAATCAAATCAAATCTGCGGATTTAAAATACAAGGAACCAAGTTATTGACATTTTTATGTTTCAGCCAGCATATTTTAGTACCAGCATACAGTATTATCTGAACAGGGTTAGGTGAGAACTCCCACTGAAATGTGTGCGGGTGACTGCATTTGTCCCAGATTCAAGCCATAAACAGCTTGTAAAAATCTTAGCACAACACATTTTTGATAGCTGTTAATAGGGGCACAAGGAGGGGCAGCAACACCATTTTGCGAGTGCAGGCAGATCTTGAGTGGGGAAATGGTTACAGACTGGCCAATTTGATACTGTCCTACGCCCAACAAAAGAACTGCTTGGAGATTAGTTAATGACGTTCCTGACTTCCATGTTGGTAACGTGGTCATTGTAAGTTACATTTAACCCTCAACAGTACACCTTCCCGGACTGATTAATCTGTACACCTGGGGTCCGCGCGGACCCCAGAGTAGTTTTTTGCTAATTTTTAGAAATTATCAACATGCTACCAGCTCAATTGTTTTGCAAACTGATGTGGGAACCTCTGTGTCCACATTACAAACAAATATCATACATTTTGAACTTTTTCTATTTTTTGGTGAAGAAAAGAAGACAAGAAGAAATACCCGATTTTTGAACCCATTTCAGACTGAAGGGGCTTTTGAGGCCCAACTTTGATCTCAGATAGCGGCTAAACGGCTTGCGCTAGAAGTATCAAATTTGGAGACCTTTCCTAAAATGTCTCTGGAAAAAAGTTCATATTAGTTTGATACTAGTAAGTTGATGTTTTTTGTGTTGCCATGGCAACGGGTTTCTATTTTTCAAAATAGAAGTAATTTTGGTTTAAACATAAAAATTTTCTGAGTTTTATATTAAATTACACTTTTTTTCCAACATTAATAACATCTTACATAATTAAATATAAGTTAAATCATTTAATATGCATAGAATATGCTAATTTGATGACGTCATTGGTCAAAATCCAATATGGCGGACTATATTATTAGCTCTGACGTCATATGACGTCATAATTACACCAAAGTTATTAAAATTTAATTCTATTACTACACCATTCTCTGAAAACTTGGTAGACATAAGATGAGTGCATAAAAACATATAAAAACGGAAATAAGGTAATGTATAAGAACGCCAATGTATCCATTATGATCGAAAGCCGGCTGGGGTCCGCGCGGACCCCAAAAGAAAATCAGATATAATTTTTTTACAAATGGTAGAAACGGATTTTTCTGCACTGTATTGAGAGACAACTTTGTGGGTGACAATTACCTAAAATTTCAGAAAAAAATCTTTGGAAACAAAAAAGATACTACAGAATATATAGTGCTGGGGTCCGCGCGGACCCCAGGTGTACTGTTTAGGGTTAAAAGTATTCAGTAACATCTTATCTCCATTGCCAGTATCCTCCTTTGCAGTTCGGCTGTCAGAGTCCAAGCTTCACATGCGTAAAGGAATAATTTTATATCGTATGACCGCCAAATACTAGTATCGAATGACCGCCAATTTTTTTTAGTATGGTACTCGTTGTAATCAATCATTTAAACAATTTTTTATATCATTTGGACGTAATATGACGTCATCACGACGTCTTTTATGTGACTCATTGCCTAAAACCGTCTATCTGTTTAAACCTAATGGTATACAACACAAGTTTTACAAGTATTTATGATAGACTATTAAGATGTACTTAATCGTATGTTGCCCATAGCAGCACCCCGTTAAAACTGCCCGCTATCTTTGATCGTCAATATGGAATTTTCGAAAATACTTTTTTAACATAAAGCCTTGAACTACAATGGAAATGGACTACAGAGATTAAAATTAACCTTTTCTGTAAAAAATCGTAGTCGGGATAAAAAAAAAAACTGGAATGTACCTGATCTGATAATATGGTACGCCATTTTAGACTTTGACCAATGACGTCATCAGATTAGCATAAATTATGCATTATTGTTTTTGATGAAAATTACGTGAAAATATATAAGATGTTATTGATATTAGAAAGCATGTGCAAATTAACATAAGAGCCTGAAAATTCCAAAATTACTGATTTTTGCAAAAATGCCTGTGAGAAACTTGTCGCTATGGCAACACAATTTAATTTTTTATCAAATTTATCTCACTAATAGGAAATTGTTTGCAACAATATCTTATGAAAAGTCACTGACTTTGGTGGCTCTAGCACAAGCCGTTTGGACGTTATTCGACATCCAAGTTGGCGTGGGCACCCCCCCTCCTCTGAAACTCTAGATAAATATAAATTGCGCCATGTTTTTTAATTACCGGAGTTGCTTTTGGCCAAACAAGTTTAAGTGGACTCTAATATTCCTTTTTTTAAAGTGATGTTGTTCGTTACTAAGGTTTAACCCTATCTAGACGGGGTGGGAGCTAAAAGTGCCACATAGCGTCTGAAAGGCTAGCGCTGGGATGGCCAAACTTTGTGACTTTTCCTAAAATATTGTTGGCAACAATTCTGTATCATTGGAATAAGATAATGATTTTTGTTGCAACGGGTTTCTAACATTTTTTTGGCTAAATTTAGTTATATTCTTTTCAACAATAGAATTTTATGGGTTTTATGTAATGTTGCACATGGTTTCTAATAGTAATAACATCCCATAAAATTTAATGTAAATATTATGAATAAAAATGCATAATTTTGCAAATTTGGTGACGTCATCGGCCAAAATCCAACCTGGGGGACCATATCATTAGAACAGGTATATACAGGTTATTTCCCTTAAAATTTCACCAATACTTCCATTTCGTTTTACAAACAAGGTTCAAATGAACGTCTTTATTCTGTTTACAATGTATTTAAGGCTTTATCCTTTAAAAAATCTTTTTTTATATCCAAGATTGATGACCAAAGGTGGCGTATTGCTTAAATATGCATGACGTCATTTTATGACGTAGCCGGTGATACTATGAGCAACATAAAACTTAGTGCACTCTAATATTCTGTCATAAAGACTGTTGGTTTATCTAGACGGTTTGGGCCAATACAATCACATTAATGACGTCATAATGACGTCACATTACCTTATACCGTCATACAAATTCTACATTTTCAGTGTACCGCAGACCACAGAAAGTGCGTAGCACCTAGATATTCCCTAATATTAATTAATTCTGATCTTATGTGTAGCAGGGTAACGTAATTTTCAGACTCTTTGTTTTATTGATAATGTGTATCAATAAACACCCAGTGAATTTATTTCCCGGGCTAGTCTTTGATAGCTAGTTAGACGCGTTAACACTAGTTGTATTTGCCAAATCAATGGAAAAATAGTTTTAAAATGGCAAACTGATGATATATTTAAACTACAGTAACACATTATCTAACAAAAAAATACATGCAGACTCTACATGATGTAAAATGACGAATAAACTGGTAGACGTACCACCTACTAAGTGCCTAGTACCGGCTAAAATATAGTCTTTCTTTCAAGGTAGCAATCTGCCACCGCGCCGCGTGCCTGTGAATCTGGTGTGTCACGCCTTAGTGCGTTTATACCAGCTATACTGAAACAGACACAAACGGTCTTATTTATATCCTATTCCAAACGTGCGGTTGAAGTTTTGTTAAATAAAAATACGAAGCAAATTTCCAATTTGAAATAAGGCTGCGAAATTAACGTTGAAAAGCCTATCTTACCTTTTTCCAACTAACTAACTTTTTACGTGGTTTATGTTAGGTCGCACCCGAAGCCGGTCATAATCGGTTACTAGATGACAGCATAGGTTGAGCCGCGCTGCTGCGCCCTTATTGGGCTGGCGGATGGGGTAACACATACCTTTTAGAAACTGATGGGCAGTGGCTGTGAATAGCTGGACTCGTCCATGGCCAATCAGTTTTTTTAACCGTCACTTTTACTGTGAGCAAGACAGAACACTACCCCGAGTTTATTAACATTAGCGGGGTCAAAATGACCAACCGATTTCCGGTCCAGATTTTCTGCTGCTATATGCTCTTTGTGGCACTATTTGCGGTGGCATCCTTATCAGGTGTCCAAACGACTTAATTTGTTGTTTATGAATAAACTCTCGGACTGACCTAACCCCTGCCATCTGTCCAATCGTGGTGCTTCTGATTTTGTCACGTCTGGTCCTGCTGACAAGTCGTCTCAGGCACCTCATTTCACTGGTGATGATTTTTCTTTCTAAGGGTTTACTCAAGTCCACGTCTGGCACTGATACGTCAGGGTTGGCAGGAAGATGAAGTTGGAGAGTTTGGCTTTGGTTTGCTGGGGTGCTTCAGGAGCGTCACACGTTTATAACTGACACTGTTTGCTTTTTGGACTCTGGTCTCTATTTCTCTATCCAGCTCTGTGAAGATAGTACCAAGGATTTGAATTCTTTAACCTGTTTTAACTCTACCTAGACGGTGCCCGCGCCAACTTTGATGTCACGAAGCGTCTGAACGGCTACCGCTAGAACGGCCAAACTTGGTAACTTTTCCTAGAATATTGTTGGCAACAATTATCTATTTTGGGAAAAGATAAAAATGTTTGTGTTTCCATGGGAACGGGTTTCTGACAGGCATTTTTGCTAAATTTAGTAATTTTTGTTTCAACAATAGAATTTTATGGGTTTTATGCCAAGTTACTCGTGGTTTCTAATATTAATAACATCCCATATAATTTTATGTCAATTTTATCAATAAATATGCATACATTATCTAATTTGATGGCGTCATTGGTCAAAATCCAAGATGGCGGACCATATCATTAGAACAGGTGTATACAGGTGATTTTCCTTAAAATTTTATCAATAATTCCATTTCTTTTTCCAAAAAAGGTTTAAATGAAGATCTTTAGTATGTTTACAATGTATTTTAGGCTTTATCATGAAAAAAATGTTGTAAATTCAAGATTGATTCTCCAAGATGGCCGATATCTTAAATATGCATTTATGACGTCACTGGTGTTGCTCTGGGCAACATTAGACTTAGTACACCCTAATATTCTCTCATAAACAATGTTGGTAAAGTTATGTTGTAAATTATTTAGTTTTCAGGGAATAACCTATCTAGACGGTTTTGACCATCAAAATCACATTAATGACGTCATAATGACGTCATATTACGTCATAACGATGATGCTGATTTTTATGTCGTAGTCCTCACAAGCAATGTTCAAGTCTGTGGTGTTTTCTTGCAGTCTGTCTGTCTTTTTACTAATAAGGCTTTGATTATCTGCAAATAGGAGTTCGTTGAGGGCTGCTGGTTTTGGGTTTGCCTGCTTTGTTATCTTGTCCATGCGTATGATGAACAAGAGCGGCGACAGTGCGCAGCCCTGCCTAACCCCGACCGTACCTCAAACTAGGACTGCACCCATGCAGTTTTGTAGAAGGCCCTGATGTTATCAAGTAGTTGGTCACTGACATTATACTGTTCTAGCACTGTTTATAATTTCTACCTGTTAACGCGATCGAAGGCCTTCTCCTAGTCAACAAACACCAGATTCAGCTCCTTAATGTACTCTATGGCTTTCTCACTGATTTGCCTTAGGACAACGATGGCGTCTGTGCCCCCTTTTCCCTTCCTGAAGCCCATCTGTGCTTCACTCAAGACTGGTTCCACTTTCTATCTTGTTCTTTGTTCCAGGATCTTTGAAAACATTTTTCCGAGATGCCCGAAAACCGTTTCTGACAAAGATGATACCAACAAAACTATCTGTCGGTTTTTGAGAAATATTTGGTGAGTATAATCCATAACCTACTCTGATTAAAGATAAGGGTTAAAAGTAGAGTATGAAAACAATATATA